GGTTGGCAATGTCGCACGCAAGAAGCGACTGGATCAGGTGATCCAACCGGAAGACATGCCGGAGTTTCGCTCCGTTGCAGGATGTTTGCAGTGGCTTGCAGGTCAATGTCGACCAGAGGTGGCATCAACAGTTTCGTTGTGCAGCCGCGGAACAAAGTCCACCTACAAGGACTTGCAATGCCTATATGATGCAGTACATTTGCTCCATGCTTCACCAAACAGCGGCATCAACATGTGGCCAGTTCCAGTCCACCAGCATAGTTTGCTGGTCAGTTTTTCTGACAGCTCATGGGCCAACGCTGAAGGTTCAGCTAGCCAGCATGGCAACTTGGTCCTCATTGCTGACCCTAAGATCACCGACACCACAGGGACAGGATTGCTGATAGATTGGAAGTCAAGCCGCAGTAGCCGAGTTTGCAGGAGCACATTGTCGGCAGAAGCAAGTGCATGTGACACTGGAATTGATCGAGCCGCTTTTCTTTCATTCCTGCTGTCCGAGATGATTTTCTGCTGCCCTTCGTTCAAGCTGACCCGGACACTTCGCATCATCGGTGTCACTGACTGCAGATCGTTGTACGATGTTTTGGTCAGCGAGAATCCTCGCACGGAGGACAAAAGGACCATAGTGGTCATCAGAGCCATCCAGCAATACCTGCAAAGGCCTGACGTTCACTGGGTTCCGACCCGCCTCCAATGGGCAGACAGCTTGACAAAGCTGAGTGACAAGCTGGTCACCACTTTCATGCAGTGGCTTGAAAAGCCATGGATCCAGCTGAGGGAGACGGTCACGAAGACACATCAAGCTCAACAGAATACCATGAGTGTGAAATTTGAGCATGACATGCCACAGAACCGAACGCATATGAGCTGATGTGTCCGCCGCCATTTCCCGATCAGGTGCGCACCGAGCCTCGTTCGCTTTTTGTGCGAAAAGGCGCCGTCCTTTTTCGTTTCATGTGACACGACATCCCGTCGCACGTGTTGTGTTCAGACTTATACATTTTACAAAGCCAAAGTTATAAACCTTACACTTTTGGGATCCTCAACTTCCGCCATGGGATTCCTAGAATGATTGAAGGATGTAGCCGTGCAGTTTGATTCCTTGATGCTCTTCTGACAACAATCGTCGCCGGTGAGATTCGCTCGCAGACTTGGAACACATCTCGGCCAAGCGTCCTGGAACAAGGTGTTCGTGTCTCGAAGTTGTAGCGGCTTTTTGAACTTGCTCGCGGTGTGTGTCTCTTGACTCTTGTCCAGGCAAGTGGATGCAGTTTCCACGAGATCAACGGATCCTATCCTGGGCTGGAACTTGTCAGGACGCCTCTGCCAGATGGTCAGGCATTTAGAGAGGAATGCTGAGTGCGGGTGGAGTTCCCTAGCTTTTGGGATGTATGGCGCCATGATGCGCCATGCTATAGTACAGAGGTCCCACAGGCACGTTCACGAATGCCTATGATTGGCCAAATGCACCGAGAAGCCCGTCTCGCTTGTCATCACATGAAACCAGGAGGCAAGGGTTTGATCAACAGGGGCCAGGGGTGCAACTCGTTTATTTCACCTGTTTGGGGGAAGTGGATGGAGCACTTCAAAATCAGTCCGACCAACTGGCAACAAGAATGCCATGGTCGTTCATTAGTCAATTGAGTCTATCACTGGCCGAGTGCCAACCAATATTAGCAGCGGCTGGGCACACTTGTTTGGAGGTGTCCATTCTCACTTGCCTCACGACTGCCTCAGCCTCCTTAAACATTCACAATAGCCTCGGATCGTTGACACAGCTGGAAGGCTGGCTGGAGCGTCGTCGTTCCGTCCCCCGCTGCCGGTCGGTTGGGCGCTGTGGGGCGCGAATCGCCGAATCGGAAGGAGCTCCCCACAGATCTACCTGGTCCACGATTTCTTCACCTCGCACGAGTGCCATCGGTTGATCCGCAAGGCGCAGGAGAGCCAATGCCTGGTGCCCGCGGGGGCTCCTCGGCGCGCGCATGGCGTGAGGGCGGGTATGGATTTTAACGTGTGGTGCCTGGTGCCAGACATCGGCGCGGACACATCATGAAGTGTTTTGTTTTGGACATTTCCAAAGGTCTTTGATCATGTTGAGGTGGAGACCTTCAAAAGAGCACTGGAAGAAGGCACCCACGACCGGCCCCAGACCACCGTGTTACTTAGGGTGGGTACCGGGGGAGTTGGAAGTGTGTTACTTTCGATGATTGGGGGTCCCCCTTATTAAAATGCACTCACATCAAGGTGGAGCTTCTCGTATTTGCTGCTTCAGCTTCCAGGTCTATGGCCCTGGCGGCTTGCAGCGTTCCTCCAGGCGCACGAGCCATCAATGCCTTTGTCCACAAGCGGAGGCCCCCACGCTGCTGCAGAAGATTGTAGTGCTTCGACATTGAGGGTAAGATGAAGTGAGGGGAAGCCGGTGAAAGCCGAGTGTTCACCAGTCGACAGAGAGACTCAAGTGCAAGCTTGGTTTTGGGTTTGTCTCTGTGTGGAGCCCCCTCCCAACCAGAGCGTGGTTTTCTGCTTTTTTGTTTCTGATAGACTATGTGCTTGCCATGTGTCTAAGCCTTCAGCCCAGGACCTGTTGAGATGCAAGCCCCGGGAGCTGGAGGCTTGTCAGATCATCCGCTACCAGGCCGGGCTGCGTCTTGCAGAGCTCAAAGGAAAGAGGCGCTTGGACCAGTGCAGCATTCTCCTCGCAGCCAAACATCGAGGGAAGACTATGGTCCGGTTCAGCCATTTCACCTGTCCAAATGATCTGGCAAACAAAGGTATTATATGAAGACATACCACCAAATAAAAGACTTGGTGCCTCTCTTGCTCCTCTCTTTCCTCACTTTTGTATCTCCACCTCATCTTCTCGGTCCTGGGTCTCATCAATGGTGTTCTTCCGAGTTCTTCTCGGTCCAGGAGGGCGAGCTCTTCGCGGCTCATGGGGACTTCAGCACGGACGGCACGCGCTCCAGCGCGGGCTTCATCGACGGCTGCCGCCGGGCGACGCTCTTCGTGTACCTGAACGATGTGCCGCGAGGCGTGGACGGCGTGGAGCCAAGCTGAACGGAGTTGACCCAAGCGATGGGGGATTGGGGGCGACCTGACTTTGGGCGACTTTGGATGGTTCTGGGATGTGGCAGGGACTCACACCGCCTTGAAACACTTTCGCTGTGCTTGTGGGGCCCATGCGGGTCGTTGAGGCGGAGTGACGGAGTTCCCGAATGCATCTCCAGCTCTGAGTATTACTCCGCGAGAAGGCGGCTTCCTGGGCTTGGGGGTTGGAGAGGTCACGCCAGCTTGAGCGCAAGCACCCACTACCACTTCCAGTGGGTGGCAGCACCTGCTTGTAGAGGAAAATGGTCGTTTGAAGGGGCCATGCCATGCCACCTCCATGATTTCAGAGAGTGTAGCCAGCTTGCGAACTCCATCGATGCACCTTGCCAAACCGGCCTTCCACAGCGCAATGGACCCGAGCAAAGTTGCTGGCCTCCTCATCAAAGTTTCGCCACAAGCAATTCTTGAAATGTTCTGAACCTAGCCTGGTGAAAGCCTGCCATGCAAGCTTGCATCGGCTGCACGAAACCAGATCCGGCCCCTCCCCTTTCAACCTTTCAACAGGCACTGGCGCCCAGTCCAGCCGACCTCAACACCAGCCGACCACGTTCCGAAGCACTTGGAAGGCTTGGCGGTGATCCACTTCCCCGCCAGCTTGGAGAATCTCTCCGATGCCCATCGGACGAGGACACGGGTGGAGGAGAAGAGTGAGACCGGGTCAGGACCTACAAAAAACCCTTGATGTGAGAAGAAACGGCTGCAGGGGTCTTGGAAGATGCTGAACACCTGTTGTGGGGCGGGCTTATGATGGGCTATGTGTTCATCAGGAGCCATGATGCGATCACCAGTGCACCCCCCGACAACCAATAAAGCTCCTGTAGTTCTAGTCTCCATCTTTTGGTGTGGAAATCACCCTGGAGCACCGCACCTGGTGCCCCCCAAAGCGCCCGGCCGCACCGGCCGCACCGCGAGGCACGCGAGCCGCCCCGCGATCGACGAGAAGTGGCTCTTCGCCACGTGGCTGTGGAGCGGCGAGCGCTCCGCAGACGTCGAGGCGCTGCAGCGCATCGGCCGAGGCGGGGACCGTAGCCGGTTTGAAGGAAGGCGAGGCGAGGCGAGGCCGTGAGGGTAGTGATTAATTAGTGGTCAGGCTGTGAAATGATGGAAGGGAGCACAAACTGCAAAGCTGATGTATTCATACGCTGGAGAGTTTGAATTCTTCCTCGGATATTACGAGTGAGTGCCTTCATGCGCCCACAAACCCATCTCAAGACCGAGGCTACACCCATGCATGGCCTGAAAGCTATGACCAACTCAGTGCAGATGTGATTTGAGCCAAGCCGGGAGGAGGGTGTAGAGAGCCTAGGCAGGCGCGGCTCAAAATCGTCAGGTCGGATGAAATGGTGTGCCCAGGAATTTGGGCCTTTTAAGAGCCACATTTCCCACGGCGTTGACGCGACAGCAGAAAAGTAGGCCGCGGAGTTTATGCGTCAAGACGCCTTTGGGTTCCTTGCTACGTCGGTCACACGGCACACATGAGCTGCCAAGTATTCAGAAGTTCTGTTCAACTCACACCTGGCAAGCTAGATCGGTATAGAAATTTAGAAGCAGGCAAGAATTGAGAAAGCCATTCCAAAACCAGAACACATATGAACACATTGGTTTAGTCATATCACGAAAGGTAGCTTGAGCTACCTGAGTCTCCTTGCTTTAGCAAAAATGCATTACAATCAGGAGTTGGGATTGCGCATTGAATTTGGTCCTGCAAGAGTCGATTCTGTTCGGCGGGGGGGGGGGCCTCCCCCCTCCCTGGATCAAATCCCTCCTGCGCCGGTTCACGCCGTCATGGACTTCTACCAGGGTTACTTGTGATTGCCTGCTACCTTTCGTTCACCCCCTCAAGTCTTTTTTGGTGGGCGGTGCCGACCGCACCCGTCGCTTTCCATCGGCAGGTGGCCTTGCAGTTGCTGCAGATGATCCAGAGCCGAAGATTGGCGCCCGACCTCTTGAGTGGCTCGATGCAAGGTCTGGTCTTCCGCCGCAGGCATGTACATCATGCGGGCTGACCCAATAACAGCATGTACTAGTAGCAGCTAGCATGTAGCAGGTCATCAGCTCCACCACGCCGTGCATGTCCCTTCAGCTCCACCACGGCCTGTGCCTTAAGCTCCCTCTTGTCGCCTTCCCCAGATCTCAGGCTTCAACTCGGCGATGAGCTCATGCCGATTGGCCTGGACCGTGGTGCTGCAGTTGCTGAAGACCCTGCAGACGGAGGGACTCAGGTGCCGTCGCGACGGCGAATCGCAAGAATCGTCGCCAAGCAGGGAGCCAGGGAGCTTCCATGTGAGGTGGTCTTTGTCGCGTTCCTCTCGCCGATGGCAGATGTCGATTGATGGCCCTTCAGGATGTGCAGCATAGAAACGTTTGGGAGTGGATCGGAGGCAGGTGAATGAGGCCACCTGAGTATCCCGTAAGGCTGGAGAAGGTAGAGGCGACTATATATTTACACACACACACATATATATATATATAAGTACAATTGAGCTGTGAGACCATACGTGCTAGAAATGCGGCTCTTTCCTTTTCTTTTGCGGGGCCTGACTAGCCTCATTTCCCCACCTCCAAGAAGTCCGGGACCAACCGACTTCGTCGCAGGCCCGACGTGGTCTCATTCAATGCGGCTCTGGCGGCGGTTGCCAGCAGCTGGGAGTCTCAGAGCTGGAGGTCTCATAGGAAGGGGCGGTTAAGGCACATGGGCAGTTGGTTCATCAAAGTGACGTTGAAAGGGTGTGTCAGGCGCCTAAAGCACTTGAAGTGGGAACCGCCTATAGTTCAGTGGGATCCGCCCACTCCAAGCACTGCCTTGTGTCCTCGCTGTCAAACGCGGGGCCAGCACGAAGTGGTGGCTGTGATGACTTGCCCCCACGACGTCGCCAGGTGGCGAGCTCAGGGATTGGGAACGGGCGCTGGCCCTGTTGGACACGCTCCATGCCAGCGGAAACGCTCCAGACCGGGGCACCCAGAAGGACATCGGTTTTGGAAGGATCGTTTTTTCTTCTTGGGGGGAGGGTCGGACACAGGTCCACCACTTAGACATTTCACCTCTCATTTCCACGCCCGACTCTGACCTCCGGTTTTCGTGATTCTACGTGATTCTTGCCACTCCACCACTTAGACGCAAGGATTTCCCCAAAAAGCGTGCTTCGAATTCGGCGCAACGGTGGACCGGTCGGCCAAGGATTTAATCAGCTTCAACACCGCCGTGGAAAGCTGCGGTGGTGCCAAACGCTGGGATGTGGCTCTCGGACACGTAGAGGACGACTGAGAGGGGGGGGAACTGGGGGGCGTGAGGCGTGCGTGGCGCCACGTGGCAGTGCTCCAAATGCACGGTGGCAGGGTGGACTGGGGGCGTGGTCTGACTTTTCCAAACTCGTTTTAGCACCCGACATGTTTCGTGTGGAATTTCTATAGCTGTAAGCACCCGCAATGGTGTTGGCGGTGTGGGGATGTTTGCCAAGCTGCACAACCCGCGAGGAATGCGTTGAACAGTTCCTGCATGAGGTCTCTTCTTTGTCAGGAGCTGCTGAAAGCAGGGCTGGAGCCAGACCTCAACACTGCCACAGCAGTTGCACGGGTGTGTGGACATGCTGGAGAGTGGTCGGAGCCCCAGAGGTGGAATAAACATGAACAAACTGTCGGGCAATGACGGTAGTTTGTCTTGGGCGCAGAGTCAGGAACACGGTTCCCTTTTCATTGTTTGGCTCGTGGAGTGGGAGGCTCTCATGGTTCTTGCTTGCTGTTGCTACAGTTCCCATGCACCACTTGGGGCGCAGCAAAGCCCACCAACTGCTCCATCTCAAGTTTTCAGGTCGAATAAATTTTGTTTTGCGCTGCCCCCATCAAACTCCTTCAAACTCCCATTTTCGTCGGAGACTGGCAGATCAGGGGGTCTATCTTTGCAGATCAGTTTCAGATGGCACCAGGTCTCCAAGCCTTCTTGGATCAATATAGCTCCTAGGTGAACCCCGTCGCAGGGTTTGGGCGACGGCACGAAGCCGTCTCAGCCGAGTCACTCCAGGCAAAGAGTCTTCGCCTTTTGGCAGATGACCTCGGTCGAGCCGGACGGCAAGCTCTATGGCGCGGGGAGTTCATTTTTTTCTTCGATCGAGTGGAGCGGGCCTAAGCGGGTATAGGCGGGTAGGCTGATTGGAGGTGAACAGGTCCAAACGCGCACTGGATTGGGTCCACGAACCAGCCTGAGAACAAAAGCCGAACTAGAGCCAGAAACTGAGCTCAAGGTCATGCAGCGGTTGGTTTGCATCACTCGCTTAATTAGGGGGAACTGACCAGTTTGAGTTGCAAGTGTCTCGGCCATGCCTTTTGGCAAGTCCCTATCTTCCAAACCCTTTGCGAGAACTTGGAGAGCACAGCCACCGTTTCTTTATTTTGGATGTGCTTGTGTCAGCACGTGTACAACCCGGACCACGACTGCGAAGGACCTGGTCCGTTTGGCCCGCGATCCGCCAGGCACGTTGTTCTTAGCATGCGAGAAGGGCTTGCAATGGCAGCTGGCCGTGCAGCTCTTCGAAGAAATGTCAGGGCCTCGAGGTGGCCCATAGCTAGAGTTGAGCTGTTGCTGCTCGGCTCTGAGAGAAAGAAAGGGCTCCCAACGCACCCAAGACAGGGTTCAAAGACAAAGATCTACAAAGAAGGCAAGCAGTCGATGTTGAGGCACCAAGCTGTTTCGACCTGGCATTCCCAGCGGCAGCGAGCCAGAAAGCTGGTCAAAATCCAGCTCATTGCCGCAACTATCTATAATCCCGCAGCATTGAGGCCCTCTACGAAACAAACATCGTGCGCAACGGAGAACTTCCCTTCCAATGAATCAACATCTGAACCAACAGCTGGCTTCCAAACAGAACGCCTCATGTTCTTCACAGATTCCACGACCAGTTTCGCCTTCGCGGCGCTCCCAAGGCGACACTCAAATGCCTTGGACTCCTTCACATCCCCGCTGGTGGGGTTTCCGGACTGCGTTCCACGTGGAGCGGCGGGGAGATGCAGCAGATCTTCGGGTTTTTGCCGCTAGACCAGACCTTTGCCATCGCTAGTGAGTTGGAGGCCATCGCTATTAGGTTGCCGGCCATCGCTAGCAGGTTGGAGGCCATCACTAGTAACTAGGTTGGAGGCCATCGCTAGTAGGTTGGAGGCCATCACTAGTAACTAGGTTGGAGGCCATCGCTAGTAGGTTGGAGGCCGCCATTGCTTGTAGGTTGGAGGCCCTTGCTAGTAACTAGGTTGGAGGCCATCGCTAG